CGCTATGAACGCTTGGCTGCCACAAGCCAGTTATCCCTGTGGTTAGACTGCGACATCGCCCGTCCATGGGCACCTAGGAGGTGCCTAAGGCCCGTCCATGGTGGGCCTTGGGCTATTTAGATTTTCGAGTGCCTGTCCATAACGCCCAAGGCCCACGGGCATGCCCACGATGCCCACCATTGCATAAAGTCACCCAAAATGGACGTACAACTCGCTGACTTTGCATAATAAATAACTGTTATTTACACCTGTTTTGCCAACTCCATGTAAAATGGCAGTTTTAATCTATAACATCTATAAACTTTACTGAAATATCTATGTATATGAGAAACTAGTATATATATGATACGACTTGGAATAAAATTTTAATCGAAATACATCATGTTGTGTGGTATTTTTATTAACTTATCAAATCATACTGTAACAGCTTGAAGATATATATTCAAGTCAGTGGTACATGCCTGGCATTTTCCATAAGTAAAATACTACTTATGGATTCTACTTTATCTCTCTCTCTGGTATATTTCTTATAGGTAGATCGAAAGATAATTAGTATAATTCTTATTTTATAAGCTTATANCACTAAATTCTGTCAATTATATCACTTAAAGACTTGTGTTCTTATTCTGGGAGTTTTAAATCCTTCGATTGTAACTCAAGATGGGCGTTTAGGTATGTTCCCATGGGCGTGCCCATGGACAAAGACACTTATAGCCAATCAGCTTATAACATATAGTCGGTCTACACTCAATTTACGATCTATCAGATCTATACAAAGCACCCCTTTTACTAGTAATCCTCGTTTCACACGGTCGCAAGTTACCTATTGTAAGTTCAGATCACTCACTCTCCTATAGTCGTTATATTATCCCTTACATCACATTAACTATGTCCCAACCTAGTGCCTATACCGCAGGGCCTTCTTCACTTCCTCCGAGCTCCCAACCAGACCTCTCCTACGTCGCCGATATATTTGATCCCAACCTTGATCCAAATATTGATCCCAGTCTCTTCAACAGCCAACAGACTTCTATCTCACTGATAGAGTCCGAGTTCACTCAACCGGCTATTCTTGATTACTCTGTCAAACGCGTCGGCCCCGATCGGAGAAAGCAGTTTATCCTCTACGACGCGATGAACAACGCGTCCAAAGCAAAGTTTATCGAGTGGTGGCGTACCACAGTACGCGGCAGCAGTACTGAGACACAACAAAGGCTACGATGGGATGCAAAACACATATCAGATGTCTGGGAGAACTTCAACCAGGTAGCACATCATATTACAGGCGAACCTTTGGTTATGTGTCGGACGTGTGGGGTTACATGATGATGATGATGAATTCATTGACCCGATTTAGCTCGCTATTA